AACAAAATGTTTTTCTGCAGACAGCATTCCTAAAGCACTAAGCCTTTCTTCCTTCATTGTGTTTCTGAGGAAAGTTTTAATCCGTTTCAGCATTGAAAAAGAGCGTTCTGCTTCAGATGTTGACATCGGTATAGTGATTAAAATACTTAAGAGCTTAAGAGTTTCTTGAAACGTACAATTTAATCCTTCCTCGTTCAATAAAATGGATAGTGGAACAGCTCCAGAAGTAGTACTCAATTCTTCTCTCTGATATAATACTTGTAACTCAGTTTTAAGCCTGTTTTTGTCTAAAAATGAAAATTGTGTGCATGTGTCATTTAAATGTGCTTCAGGAAACTGATGTTTATAAACAGAAAACTTTTCAGACACAAATAAATTAGAAGCAACTAAATGCCCAGAAAAGTTAAATCTTGTTCTTATTTGCGATAATACTGCATCGCATATTTCTAACGCTTCCCGTTTTTTGCTGCCTTCTTCAACTTGCCTTTTTTTTCTTGCCGGTTCATCAGTTTCTCTCTGCACTCGTTCAATCTCGTCAATAATGCTATCCATTTGTTCTCGTATAGTTTGAATTGCTGCTTCAAAATTCTCTAAATCATTTTTGACCTTAACAGAATCGGTGCATACTTTTTGTAATTGGTTAAAGACAATTTCAACATGTGGCATTATTTTATGGAATATACTTAGCCAAAATACAAAATTTGTATCTTGCAGCTTTAATTTGTACCCACTGGCTTGATTAATCGACGAAGAATCGCGTGAAGTACTTTCTATATTGTCCATAACTTCAATCAGGTCTTTCCTATTTTCATAAACTGTATGAACACCTCGTGACTGAAAATTCCAACGTGTTTGGGAAGATCTTGGCAATCTGCGATTAACTATTTCATCCAAAATTTTTGTTCTTTGAGGAGACGTCGAAAAAAAAGAGCACAATCCAGATAAATTATGGAAAAATATTCTAGCCTGCTTATTGACAGAGCATGCGCTTGTCATAATTAGATTTAACTGGTGTGCATAGCAATGAACATAATTTGCAAGTGGATAAGTTTCCTTAATAATCTTTTGAACGCCATTCAATTCACCACTCATAACAGACGCACCATCATAGCTTTGAGCTATTAATTTGTTTGGATTTTGATCTATTAATGGATTTACAACATTTAAAACGCATGCAGCGATTGATTTGGCATCGTGTCCGTCGGGGACGTAAAATCTCCAAAATCTCTCAACTGGTTGTCCTTTACACAAATATCTGAAAATAATAACTAACTGAAATTCACAGGCTACGTCAGTCGTTTCATCGGCAATTACTGCAACAAAAGAGAATTTGCAATCTCCTTCTTAACTTCTTCATGATAAACATCTAGCATGCACTCAAGAAGCTCGTTTTGAGTTGTTTTTGAGGTACCCTTGAAAAGTTTGGCACTTTGAATATGGACTTTCAATTCGTTGTCTAATTCGGCGCTAAAATTCACCAGCTCCTTAAATATGCCTCTGTTTTCCGAATTTTCCTTTTCATCGTGACCCCTTAAGGCTAACTCAAATACTCCACAAAACCTTATACAATTAATAATTTTATTCAATACATATCGATTCTTATCCACTTGATTATTATGTTTAATTAGATCATTGCGATAAGCCGAATTGAGTTGAGTCCTTATAGTTAATTTACCAAGAATAGAAAAGCTAAAAACATTATTCATATGGACTTTAGATTTTTCGTGGGTCTTCATTTTATCCCATATATGTATAAGATCATCTGTACCTTTTTTTGACCAAGTCTCGTCACCTCCAAATAGAACACATACAAAACAAAATAGTTTATTCGTTTCTTCACAACCACATATCCAGCTGTTTTTATCGTACACATTTTTATTAAATTTGCGACAGCGCGATTTTTGTCCGCTACCACTTTGTTTCTCAATTTTTAAATCGGGTATTGGCCGTCCTAATTCTTTAATTTGCAGTTTTTGATCCAGCGAAAAACCACTAAATGAGTTTTTTAATATCCCGATTTTATTCATTTTCACTAGTTTTAATAAAACAGTAAAAAATATGATCACAAAACAGAGCAGTTCATTAACACTAGACGTACTAAAACAAAAACGTTATTTCTCACTTTTCAGGTAAAAAAAGACCGAAATCAGCACTAGACGTAATCATAACGAAACGACCGACCGAACAAAAACACCGCCGATATCATTTGATAACGAATTACGACTGATGATGTGCCTGGCACAAATTATACTTGTCTTTCGCTATTCACCTCATATAAAAATGTGTATTGTAGCGTTATCTCTGTCGCTCGTATGCGATGCTGGTAAAATTTCTCTCTTTTTATTTGGGCCGGCCCGACATTGGCACAAGTTGATGACGTCAAGGTCAAGGCATGCTTTATATCTCGTCGCGTGTTCGGGTGCTTGCGGTGTTGTCACGTTGTCAGTGTTGTCACTTCATATAATTTATACCAAAAAAAATGAAAAAGCAAAAAATAAAGTAAAACATTGAAGATTGAAAAAAATATTCTTTTTGAAGAAGACAAGGTAGTGCCATGGCACCGTGGCACTACCTCACGAGCCGCCACTGCCTAGACCCTAGATAATATATTCTTGAAGTTAATCGTGTCAGTGTGTGTTATAGAACGTTCGGTGTAAATACCAAAAGTAAATATAGGGAATAGTATGTTACAAAATTGCAGTCATATCAGAAATAAATACTGATATAAGATTATTTATGAAAATTAGCTGCTTTGGTCCTCTGACGCTTTGGCAACATAGATGAAATCACAGCCGACGTCAACTACGAGCCGTGAACAAAGAAATCTGGCAACGTAGGTGGTAGTGTTACTCCCGCCGCTCAAAACGCTGAGAAAACATAACCTTTTCAATTTGTGATTTTGGAATCGCAGAGGCTGTAATTAAGAGATAAGCTTGTTTTCTAAACTTCAAAGTGTGTGTATGTGTTCAAAGTGATCGGTGACTATAATATATGAGAAATAGACTCCAGTTGTAGTGCTTCTGTGCTTTAAAAATAAACTAAGAAGTGTGACTGTGGCTGTTCGCGCCTCAGGACGCTAAGGATTTCAACTATTGAAAACGTGCAAATTCTGGTTGTATTTTTCCAATTTCAAATAAAAATGACATGGCTAAAACTGTTTTAGCCTTCAGCATTTGGAAACATAACAGAAATTATCAAATTACTAACAGTTTCAAATCTAACAGGTGATGAAATGACACCTTTGGTTGAACATGTGATAAATTTAGTTCAAAAATGTAGATTTGAAGTTATTTGTGTTGTTACTGATAATCACCGAATTAATAGAGCAATGTTCAGGAAATTAGCAAAGGATTCATCAGAAAATTATTCTATTCCAAATCCACATAATCCTGATAAGAACATATATTTAACTTATGATGTTGTGCATATTTTCAGAATCAGAAATAATTGGATTAATTTAAAAAACCTACAAAACTTTTGTATATCCTAATTTTGACAATACTGATATTATTCAGTATGCTAAATTTGAAAACATTCGTGCTGTATATCAATTGGAAAAAGAAGCTGTAGTTAAGAAAGCATATAAATTAAATTATAAAACATTGCATCCAAATTCATTTGAAAGGCAAAATGTAAATTTTGTAGATAATTTATTCTATCACTCAACAATAGCTGCTATGAAGGAATTAAAGTTTAATGATGCTGCACACTTTTTGGAAATAATCAGGAATTGGTGGGATATTGTCAGTAATACAAGTGTAATAAAAGGAGAATTGAAGTGAAACGAATTTTGTAAGCCTATTACCAATAAATATGATTATAGAGTACAATTTTTTTAAAAATTCCTGATATGGTTAGAAAAATGGCATAATCTAGAGAATAATAATGGACACCTGACACCAGAAATGTATACAGCTCTATATCAAAGCACGCTGACTCTACTTAATATAATTGAATATTCATTTAATCAATTTGACATTGAGTATGTATTGCCTGGAAAATTCACCACTGATAATTTAGAAAAACGATTTGGCAATTATAGACTTTTATGTGGCTGCAATTACAATGTGTCATATGATGAAATTTTAAATGCTGAAAAGAAAATACGGCTGAAGCATATTTTCAATGAAAAGAAATCGTCATTTTCTTTAGCAGAAATTAAAACAAGGTTCCAAAACTGCTTATAAACTCAAGAAAATTTTGATTTCTTGGATACCAAACAAAATCCTGAAGTTTTGGATATATTCAATGAATTATTTGAGACAAATTACTTAGCCAATTGTGACATAGAGGATAGTACTAAGACTTATATATCTGGATATGCTTCACACGCTATCTCTAAAAACCTAAACTGCGAGATAAGCAAATCGCTAATAGTTAAAGAAAAAGGTTCATTAACAACAAATGTTTATTTTGATTATTTGCAAAGAGGAGGACTGTCAATTCCAACCAGTTATGTACCAATGATATTCTACCATATGTATGCCATTTTTGAATCTATTATTATTGTAGATAGATTGGAAATTTTCTTCTTGAAAAGCAATAATCAAAAATTTATTTAGTCAGTTAACCTTGCTCAGCATTCAGTCTGACTTTATTTACAGTGAATTTTCTTTAACTTGCATCTGTGGCCGCAATTATGCAGATATTTTATCTAAGCTTTTGTCTATTTTTTTAAACATAATTTTGAATGATTATGTAAAATTGAAAAATAACAGTAAAACTGAAAGTAAATGTATTAAAAACAAACAGGTAACTCCACATTTCCAAGCTGGGCCTGTTGGAACACAGTGTGCTGACAAAAAAAAACGTAAACTAAATACTTTTAATTAGGTTAACTGCATTAGCGACTCATATATCACGATTATTTCGTATTTTTAAATTTTTTAGAGCTATTTCATATTCAGATGATTTGTATTGAATCGAACTGTCCTCTTTTCCAAAATTAAATTTAGTTCTTGAACGTTACACGGAGACGGAGCACACAGCCGCAGCCGGCCGACGTTCACAGGTAGCACTACCATGCCGTCCGAGCGCGGTGTTGCCTTTCTTTCATCACGGCTCGTAGTTGACGTCGGCTGTGATGAAATGTATAAAGTCTGCAGTTTTCATTATTCAGTGGTCGTCTTTTTTCGAACGCGTGTAATTGTATTGGGTCGCTCGACATGACGTCAGGAGTGATATAGATGCGTAACACGTCAGCTTTCTGTCAAAAACCAAACCCCCAAACCCTATAGCGACTGCCGTTATAGCTACCACAAAGCAGCTACGATAAATACGTATTTGGAGTCCTTTGATGTTTGACAGCAAATATCGCAAAAATGTGCAAGAGTGATAAGATAAGTCTTTAACTAAGCAGCAAGTAATAACAACCCTGTGAGTGTTCTATCTTCCATCAAAGTTCGATGGTGACTGCTACATAGTAATAACTTAGCCACCCATCTCTAGAGAGTAGAGTTGCATTTTGTAGTGTTTTGAATTGTATGTCTCCCGAAAGTTATCTATTATGTTTTTTGAGATTGGTGAGTATTAGCGAAAACAGCAGTTTCTATAAAATTAAATTTAGTTTCTCTTATAGCAGTGGGCTTTTGTTGGGGAGGCACTAACCCCATAATCAGGAGAAACTCCAAAAATATTGTAAAAGTAGAGGCATCGTCAGCAATTGGACAGTTTTTCTTAGACTTGAAATACTTGGCTACTAACATATGGGTAAAGTTTAATTATATTTTGTATTTTGGTATCATAGGAAAAGTGAAATCTTCAAAAATCCGGATTTGAATCCTGTGGCGTCATCTAGTGGGTTGTGATTGTAGTACTAACAGAAATATGTAGTTTTCTTTAGGGGACTCGTTCATTAGGCTGTAGTAGTTCAGTTAGTGACCGTAAGATGGTACGCCGCCCATCAAACAGATATCGCACTGTCGGCAACCAATTGTGCTATTCTGCCCTGCTACTGAGGATGTCGGAACGTTTTTGTTCAGAATGATCCCAGAAATCAGAAAAAAATGGCGGAAGCGAAAAAACTTTTTTGTAATTAAAAATCGAAGGGATTCAAAAAAATTATCTAAAAAGTGGCCCACAAGATCCGGATTATTATTCTTCGACCCCTTCTCGGTTGATATCTGTTAATAAAGTGCGTCCTCACATTTTCGAAACTTGATTCGATCCAGCGCCTACCTAGTTCTGTAACACTTTTTTTTTTTGTTTATTCAGAACAGTATTAAATACAATCTCCCTAATTTTGATCGCTTGTTAATTTTAGCAAAAATCACATTGCTTGTCCGTGTTTTGAAAATGTGTGCGCAAAGTCCCCAAAAATGAAAATTGGGCATTTATATGATTATTTCTTTTATCTTTGGGGATGATTCTTCGTTGGGTTGGATGTGGTTTTCGTGATATTTCCAAAAGCAAGTATTAATATACTTATTTTTCTAGTATGTACTTCCATGGCTGGTGAATCAGAGTGGATCTGTGATCTATTTTCTTACATTGCAAAGCACTGATCTGACCTTATCAGTACCGCTAGCAAACTCGCTTACTTTTGTTTTTACTGCAATTGTTAGTTGGATTTTAGAAGAAAAGTTGCTCAAAAAAAGTAAGTACCTTTATATAGAGCGTGTCTCAGATTCGTTTCTCTATACAGCGATCTCGGCTCCTGTTATAGCTACAGCGAAGGTTAAAAGGGGAAAGTTTTAGAGGAAACTTGGTGCTTTCGATTGCCGGCTACAGATTTACGATCGGTCATTTGGTTTTGGAAATATTAGCGAAAAACTGAAAATGGCGAAATTTATTTTGCCAGTAGGTAAATCCAAAACGGAATTTTTTTAAGAGAAATAAGATGACATGTCGCAATCGTCTTTTGTTTTTAAACAACCCGCCTCAACTTTCATTTTTCTTACGGCTGCCATATTGGATTTTTGAAAGGATTGTAAATTTTCCAGTACAGTTATGTTTCACAAGTGCACAAAAGATTGGAGTATCACCGAAAAATCATCACACGTAACGTTATGTATTAGTTTTTTTCTAAGGAGGCCATGATTTATTTGTCAGAAAATAACATTAATGTGTAATAAGGCATACAAAATATTGCTCTCTCTCTCTCTCTCTTATATTTATTATTCAGGTGTGAAATGGTGTCAAATTGTTGTGAAGTATTCTTAAAGTATCGATTGTTTCAATGATCAAGCAGATAAGAACGTCTGATTACAGAATCCATTAGTCATCTGCGGATTGTTTCACAGACGTTATCTCCACGACAAGGTCGAGAGAGATTAAATTGTGTGAGCATAACGACTACGTCAAGTAGATTGACTCTTTAATTTCTCCCCCTCCTCCTCCGAGAATATTCGAACTTCGGTTCACAGGTTTCCTGTTGCCTAAATATATCTACATCATACAAATCTGTATTTCTCATTTATATCGGTTTGTCAGTTCATGTCTGTAACCAATAAGATTATTGTTTGCAAAATATTGATGCAAAATGCAAATTAATAAGAAACACACTAACTCCACCAATACAAATCGAAGAGTTTACTTCTGCACACCTCTCGCAAAACAAAAAACTCGTTGGAACGCTCTTATCAGTGAACAGAAATAGTCCCACAAAAAATGTTTGACGCTGATTGGTCAACCAATACGATTATCGTAAGCAGTTATTCTACAAACGCTCTGCTAGGTGTATGGCTTGTAGGCGAGTCTTTCATGGTTTTTTAACTCTCACAGGATATTATTGGTTATTTGCTTGCTATCATGTAGGAAACGATGGGATTTTCAAAATACGCTGACAGTGGAGATTTTGGTACGAGCCGCGAGAGTTGATTATCAAATGGTTTTCCCTGTATAGAGTGCGTCTCAGATTTGCTTCTCTGTACAGGGATCTCTACGCCTGTTATACCTACAGGAAAGGTTAAATGGGGGAGTTTTAGTGCTTTCGTTTTTAAAATATCAGCGAAAAACTGAAAAAGGCAAAATTAGTCCAAACCATTTGACTTGTTCAGAAGTCGATATTAACGTTAATATTCTATTAAAAATTATGTGTTTTTTATACCTTACTCATTAATTTTATTTTCTGACAAATTAATCATGGCCACCTTAGAAAAAAATAGTATATTAACATTACGTGTGATGATATTTTGCTGATACTCCAATCTTTTATGCACTTGTGAGACATCACTAGGCTGGAAATTTTACGTTCTTTTCAAAAATCGAAAAGTCCAATAGGGCGGCCATAAGAAAAATGAAAGTTGAGGCAGGCTGCGGGAGAACAAAAGACGATTGAGACATGTCATACACGCTGTCTTATTTGCCTTAAACAAAATGACCAAATAATGTCACATTTTGACAGCTGTCAAATTAACCGCTTCGGATTTACTGACAAAACACGAAATTCGACATTTTCGGTGTTTCGCCGATATTTCCAAAACCAACTGACGGCTATCGAATGCACTAAGTTTTCTCTAAAACATTCCCCATTTAAGAAGCGAATTTGGGATACACTGTATATCGTAGCTATGCTCCATTGGCTAATACATGATTTTTAGGAACCATTATTGGAGTGATCTTGATCCTACTTGGAACATTCCTATGCTGTTGGGACAAATTTTAACAAAAGAATACTTGGAGTCTAAGTTATTTAATATATGATTTGTATAAAAAAGGTAAACATAACGAATAAAGCAGAAATAAAAGTTGTCTTGCATATTATCATCCCTGGAAATATTGAATGATATCTCCAGATGGAGTCAAAATGTCTGTAGATAGTAAACAGAAAATTCGTTCAATGATTATAGGAAATTCTTCAATCAATCGTATCGTCAGTCGGTCCTATAATTGTAGGATGCCTTTATAGTCTCCTTAATTTTCATAGTATTTTTTCTCCTTCAGAAGGGCTGGAGTGTTTCTAGATTTCTACTGTTCCGTGTCAGCGTCAGCGCACTCCTTTTGTTCTTTTTGAATTGTAGGAAATTTGAGGCTCATATAACAAATGATATACTCGTATATCAGAAGCTTAAACAATTTGATGCACATAGATATTTGTAACATAACCTCAAAATAGACCGTTAAAACTATGTGGTTGTTTTTGAATCCAGTGAATGCAAGACTGTCCTTAGTAGATAAATGAACGTGAACGTATACCAGTTCTTGTAAATGTGCACCGTTACAGGTTGGTAGTCAAATAATACACAAAATAGATGTAATCTCTTTATGGCACATTTAAAAAATAAGATCACACAAAATAATAATCATAAACCACTACAAAACTACACAAACTAGTTGTACTTTTAAAAGTCACTTTTTTAATCAAGCAGCCTAATATCTAAGAAGTAAATATATAAAATTTAAATGACTAGTAGGTGGTGTGTTAAAGTTAATAAAACAATTATTTCTTAAAAAAATACTATATAAGTATCTCGAGAGCAGACAATGCAACATTCTACGTCGTTTCTATCCGAAGTGTCACTCTCTTCAACATTATTGTGTCAGACAATATCGTGGAAATGTTGTCTGAAGAATTTTCTGAAAAGTAACCTTTTGTTTGTACATCTTAAATCAAGATCCGTATGTGGTAGGAAACTTTGTCTATACATTTATTAAAACAGCGAAAAAGACATAAATGTCATTCATTTACAGCCAGCCCAATTAAATTCTGGTACTTTTAGGAGCTCCAACATTGTTAATAGTTCATCTAATTCAGTTTAATTTTGTCATTTTAGTATTTTTAAGTTTAGTGAATGTTGGTACTTCAAGCATCTTCAGCCATAACTTTGCATTGTTTCAACATATTTGGATTGAATTTTTGTAACCAAGAACATAAGACACAATTAGTGTGATCTGAACCACTATGTAAACATAAGATTGCCTAATCGCTAAGTAAATGGTGGTACCTATATGTGGTCTAATTTTTTATCAGATTTTAGTAGATTCATTAACTATATGAAAGAACTTTATGAAGGTCACCATTGCACTGCGAAAAACCTGACGATAGCAATAACGGAAGATTTGCAAAGAAGCTAAAGCTTTAAGGGAACCGGTCACCACGCAAAGATACTTGTAATCCGCTAGGTGGCAGCTCAGTTATCAAACCCTGTATTACATCATAGCTCCTCCTAAATCCAACCAACTGATTTCCAGAACACTGGTCAGCGATGGCCGCATAAGGCAAGGCGCGCACTGAGGTAGTGTGGTAGTGGTGAGGTATTGGAGTGGTGAGAGGCATAGGGATGGTAAAATTTGGCGTGGCGATCGGAATAGCGGCGAAGTGGTATGAAAGTGATATAAAGCGCACTGAAGTGGCAAACAAGTCAGTTGACGTCACCGGTTTACCATGTCGTCCTCAGAAGATGAAGATGCCCTTTTATTTATGCAACTTGTTAATCTAAATGCTATAAGTCAGGAGACGAAGAAAAAACGGCATTGGGTTCATCCGCTGTGGCAAAAAAAGCCCGTTCTTGCACATGGATCATATGATAATCCTCCCGTGTATTGTCATACAGACAGAGATATGCCTCTACAAGGGCTACAAAATTAATGTTCAATTCGTGGTCGTCTCGCATGATTCACTCCAGGAAAAAGTAAACAAAAACCCACGTCGCGTCGTCGTCACCAACCGCTTGCCAGTCGAAAATTAAACTTGCTCGAGATTAGTGGCACCAGACTGACATCACGCCACCTACAAAATGCCACGCCACCGCTACTCCATTTTGATACGCGCGTCTTCATTTGTTTATATAGGCTTTAGCGATTCCACCTGCCACTTGATCACCGCGCCACTACCACGTCACTTGCTCACCATCTCAGTGCGCGCCTTGCCTAACGCGGTGTCACAAGTCATTGTAACTATAACACATCCACATTCCGAAAAATGTGATGGTTTCTGAAATTTGCTTGTTTTCAACAATCTTACAACCAGGCTAGATACTGAGAGATGCTTGACACCTTGGCTCCGGCAAGTGGGTCGAGCGGGTGGAGGGCGTGGTCGAATAGATTTTTTCATCGTATTTACATATTTATTTGTTGAACAATCTCAAATTTTTTTTCACAGGTCGACAGGATATCATTATTTGTATGTCATGAGCTATCAAAAAAAAGTTAGGTGGAAAGGTTATCAGATAATATTGTCTGAAAAAACATTTTTTTCCAAAAACACTGAGCTCGTGACATTAATATTCTTCTTCATGTGGACGCGAAATTTTAACTCGGTCGCGTCGATATTTTTCGAGAAACTATGGAAATAAGGTTCGAAAAATTGGACCAAAAAATGTTTAAATTTTTGAGTGTACAAAGCATAATAATAACATTATTAAAGCGTCACAAAAATCCAATCAGCAGCCACAGAAAAACAACATAAAAAACCACCTTAACGTTATGGGCACCGAAACTGATTTCCGCTATACGAGAAATGAAAGTAGCTTTTCAGAAATATTGAAATACTGTTTGATTATAATATTAAAATCGTTATATAGGTATGTTGGTGTTACTACTGAAGAATAGGCAAGTGCCTACCTTCATAATACAAGAACTTATTCTGCAGACATTGTTTTTGTTATATCAATAGTCAGAATGGTTTTAAACGCAGGTTGTCACTTTGACGACTCTCAATCTCAAACCTTAATTTAACGTTTACAGTGACAAATCTACGGCTTCCTGTGCTCCGTAAGTTTATCCTGTGATTCGTCAAGCGACATGCTCCTGTTCAGTTGTTGTTTCAGCAACAACTGGTTCTGGGATGACAGTTCGTCTATTCGAGTTCGCAGTTCTTCTATCTCGTAAGCCAGCTTGTTTATCTGTTGCCCTTGTTGGATGGGATCGAACACCACCTATTGAAGAAAATGTACCATGAGAAAACTATATACTTGAAAGCAAGAATAAAGTACTCTTAAAAAGTTGTAAAAATTGATTTGAAGAAATGTTTTTTTCATTTAACATTTTTGTGGTAAAATTAAAGTAACAAAGTTTAGAAGTTTGAGTACCGCCCTGTCTCAATAATAATATTATGTGCTCGGGTTTGGAAACAACGGATATAATCCGCCTTATCCGTTCATCGCATCGGAAACAAAAAAGCGAAAGAATTTGAAACGCTGATCACGATGTTTTTATTCAGTCGATGTGTCAGTCGGTAACGCGTGAGTGAATAGTGGTGTTTGCTGCGTGGCTCAAGCGAAATAAAAAATGACACATGTTTATGCGGATCGGTTTCCCAATCGAGTGCAACCAACCCCTCGTGCCTTTGTTAATGTAGTACAACGGGCTCGTGAATCAGGTGACTTAATTATTATTTTTTAGGTTTTTACAAAATTAAATAAGAACAAAATTGTAATAGTGTTACATAGAGGTTATAGGTTGACGCGGGGGCATGGGGATGACGGGGTTTGGTCTTCGGGGACTGGCAATAGTGAGGAAATAAGGGATAATGGATAATGATAACATGGGTCAGCGAGTGGAGAGTGTTAATGATGAATCAATATTTGATAGTCCACATCAAAACCATTTCACAGTCGGACATCTAAATATCAGATCCATAAATTCTGGATTTGACGAGTTCTGTAATTATATGACAGAATACAATTTTGATATTTTTGGAGTTTCTGAAACATGGCTCAATCCAACTTTAAGAAGTGAGAGTTTTTGCTTGCCTGGGTACAAATTTATAAGTAATGATAGGCAGGGTCGAGGAGGAGGGGTAGCTTTATACATAAAAAGCGGGTTGAAATATTCAAGGGTAAATGTGGAAATTAACTGTGCAGAAACCATAGGTATAGAATTTAAGATAGGTGGAAAAACTTATCTTTTAGTTAATAGTTATCGTTCGCCTTCTGAGAGTGCCACTTATTTTTTAGACTCCTTAGAAAATTTTCTCGGTTTTGTCAGTGTCAAATATGATTATTTATTACTGATAGGAGATCTAAATATTAACATTTTAAATAATTCTGCATACACAAATCGCCTCAAAAATATAATTCATAGTTTTAACTTATCACAAAGGATCAGTGAGCCAACAAGATTCAATTTTGCCACAAGAGAGGCTAGCCTCATTGATATAATCTGTGCTAGTGAGGATCTTATCTCTATCGATTCTAAATCATTGGCAGTTTCTCAAAATCTCTCAGATCATAACTTAATTTACTCAGCCTTTCGAAAGTCAAAAATAAATAAATCACAAAAGACTATTAAATATAGAGACTACAATAATATAGATAGAGAATCCTTCTTAAATGAAGGGTTTCTACTTGTGTGGGGATATTTACTATATAAACCAAATCGACCGAAAAATAGAAGTCTTTAATAAAAATATAGTAACTGTTCTGAATAAACATGCTCCAATAAAAACAAAACAAATAACCGAAAAACCTTATGTACCCTGGATAACTCAAAATATAAGAATTTTAATCAGACTAAGAGATAAAGCTCATAAAAAAATTCAAAAATCAAAATCACAGGCTCATTTTGAATATTATAAACAACTAAGGAACTATACAAAGCATGCAATTATCCGAGAAAAAAATACATTCTTTAACTTACTCTCAACAAAGAAAGGTAAGGAATTTTGGGACACTACCAAAAAGCTCAACATAATCATGCAAGAAAACTCACTCAACTATACCCGAACACTTACAAAATGTAAATGACATACACAATTACTTCCAGCAGACCGACAATTTACCAGACACTGCATCCCAAGAATTAATCAATTTTTACAAAAACAATGTAAACATTAACGATTCTCTTAGCTTCCAACTGTTAGACCAAGGCCAGTCTAATCAAAATTGTAACTAATATCTCATCAAATGCCATTGGAGAGGATGGTTTCTCTATGAGAGACCTAAAGTTATGTATCCCATTTTGTACGAATGCCTTGCTGAATATAATCAACACATGTATTTTGTTGGGATTATTTCCAGAAATATGGAAGAAAGCTATTGTTAAACCCTTACCAAAAATAGCAGAACCTAAAGAATTTACAGACTTGAGGCCTATTAGCATATTACCCGCTACATTCAAAATTTTAGAAAGGCATATTTATAATCAAATTAGGTTTTTTTGTGACACAAACGATATCATACCAGATAGTCAATCCGGTTTTAGAAAAAACTTTGGCACAAGTACATCATTAGTTAATATCTTGGATGACTTGGATGATATCAGACATCATCAAGAACAAAAAAATAGTACGTGCATGGTTCTTCTCGACTTTAGTAGAGCGTTCGACACTCTGAATCATGAAATGTTACTAGCTAAGTTACATTACCAGGGGTTTTCGCAGAACTCCGTAAATCTAATAAAAACATACTTAAGCAACCGTTCAAACTGTGTTATGTTAGCAAATGATTCTGCTATTTACAAAACCGATTTTAAACCTATAAAAAGCGGAGTTCCTCAAGGTTCAATTTTATCTCCTTTGCTATTTTCAATCTACATATCTGACGTGGTCAAATCGGTAAAATTCGCAAAGATAAAACAATATGCAGATGACTCACAAATATATCTCTGTGTCAATAAAACCACAATCCATATTGCACAACAACAACTAAATTCAGATCTCCAAAGAATTGACACATTTGCAAAGCATCACAATCTTAAACTAAACCCCTCAAAATCGCAAGTAATGGTTATGAATAAAAACAGTACTGAAAGAGAACATTTTGAACAAAATTTAGTAATTTCTATTAACAATGACAGAATCCCCATAGTTCAGGAGACAAAAAATCTAGGCATTATATTTGATAGCTCGCTTGGCTTCGGCAGTCATATAAAAAACAGAACAAATTTAGCTTACATGCGACTAAAAAATATAAACAAATTAAAAAAACATTTATCAGCCAAACAAAAATATTATTTGTGTAATACCTTAATTTTATCACTTTTTGACTATGGAGATGTCGTCTATGGTGATTCGCTATCGTCGCGAACCAAAAAATGTATACAAAAAGTTCAAAATAGTTGCATGAGATTGGCATTTGGAATTCCATATCGAAACCATATCACTCCTTATCTGAATAACTACAACATATTAAACATGACGAATCGCAGAAAATATCACATGTATTCTTTTATCTATAGGGTTATAAAAACAGGTCAACCGCCCTATTTAAGAGAAAGATTTGTGCCTTTGCCTAGTGCCCAGAGAAGTAGAAATAATCTCAATTTTATCGTACCTAGGCATAGAACGCGTTCCTTCCGACAATCGTTTGCCTATGTGGCGGTTCACTTATGGAATAATTTACCAACTTCAGTTAAAAGCTCATCGTCAAAAACATTCTCAAAACTGACAAAAACGTTGTTACAGAATCACCAGCTACTTTAGCAGCGTTTGTGTGAGCAAAAATAACGTTTTTATATTCCTACTCGCTGACAAGTTGTATAGATTTGTTTTTCGCGTTCGTTGCCAGCTCCCGGGGGTTCTCTCTTCGTTTTTGCCTTTTTTGTGTTTCACCGCCTCTTCATTTGCCTCTTAATTGTATTTTTTATTTTGTTAATTTAGGGTATTCAGGGCTTTCTCGCATGGACTCTTTGTATTAAAGGGTCCAATGTATCGGTTTTATAATCGAGAGACTGTCCTTTTTCGTCATTACTCTATATGTAGAATTTCTTTTGTTTATGATGTTTATTCATGACGAAATAAATATTTTGAATTTGAATTTGAATTTGAATTTGAATTAAGACCTCACAGGAGAGGGCATGCCGGTGCTCCAAGGCTCCAAGACCTCACGATCAAATACAGGTCCGCACTGAAATACTTGTCGGGAGGATACTTTATAAAACAAGGTAAATTTTTTTTTATTTTTTTTTTATTTTTACACACATATTTTGGTTTATCTTCCTTCTACAATCATTATCATGAAAATTAATGACTCAATTATATTATAACGTATTTCTCAATAAATACCTATTGTCATTATTATTACTTACCTTTGTTTGATTTGCACCATCTGTCATCGCCGTGGTTTCTACATTCGGTTGTTGAAGCGCGACAGCGACAGCTGGCGGGGGAGTTTCCGTACTCTTCCCAGCCACAGCTTCCTCGGCGTCGCTGATCACCTTCTGCTGGAGCAGCATTTTCTGCGTCACAGACTCTGGGACGTAGCCCAGGAAATGACTAGGCTTGGACGTGGTAGGCTGCTCGCTGAGTGGAGGACAATGGGACACTCCGTATATCCTGGTGTGGTTGATCTCCAAGAGGGAGGTGATCTCGGGGAGAGCGGCGTCGCAGAGGATGGGGTTGTCTGAAATTTATCAATTGATAATAATAATAATCTTTGTTCCAACAGGTTTGCACCCAATCACAGGAACATCCAATAAGGTATGTCGATATGCTGAAACTGCACCTACCTTGCAAATTAATTTTGAGCGTGTCCCAAGTTCCTTCGTGTACACCGTGTTCTATTTTGCATCTTGTCTTGGCCACCAAATCTCTTCCCAAAGCTAGAATTTGGTTGTTGGACAAATCTGCGTGACATAGAACTGGTAGGCCATGAAAGTCTCTTTCCAAGATGGATAAGAAGTTGTGAGTTGCTTTCAGTTCTGATAACCGTGGCAAGAATGTCTGCAAATCGGAGAAAATGTTCAATCAAAGTAGAGTTCTTCAAAAGATTTGGATAATGTAAAATGTGGAGAAAGAGAGAAATTGTAACTAGACGTTGACGTTTGGACATAACTTTTTACTGATTTACTAAGTCCTGGATAAGCTCTATTTTTTACGTACATAGCTCTAGATCCTAATCACTGCAGAGGATAGCTAGAGAGTGCAGAGCCAGATAGCACAGAACGTCCATTTTATGCTCTATTAATGTCTGAACGCCTGAGACATTCAAAAGATAAGATAAAATGTCCTTAGTGCAACGTTTTTAATAACATCCTGACACCACATAAAACGTTTTCAAGACGTTGTCTTATGTGTTAGAAGACATTTTTAAAATCTATAGAATTCAGCTTCTTAAAAAGTTAAAAATATCAATGAACACATAAGAAACCTCAATCTTGAACATGTAACCACGGTTGAAAATATCTATCACTTTTTTAAGATTCATATATTTTTTAACCAATTCCATTATTTGAAGCTATGCGAAAGGACAAGTCGTTAAAATTCTTAGATATCTTTATTTCTCGGTAAACACCAATTGTTTTTTTCTGGAATCTTTTAAACTTTAAAATTGACTGCATCATCCTGATTTACCTCATCAATTCGCCACCAGATGACGATGCGTCGATTGAATCAAGCACATCTCTATACTTACCTCTGCAAGTTCTCTAGCTCGAGCATCTGTCAATGTCATGGCATTTGTCATTTATGTCAGCGTTTTTTTTAAGGCGTAGCGTACGCGGGAAAAGTTCTTGCCTACATACGATTTTCCACTTGTTTGCCATGGAAAAAAGTAGATCGGCAATCGCGTTCTTCCCGGGCATTTGTTAACATTGGAAAAAAGTGTTAATAGTAAGTATCGCGGCTGCTTACCTTACTAGTTTCTTCCAGTGTTGTCAAACGATTGTGTGACAGATCGATCATTCTGAGTTGATCCAAACCTATCAAATCATCTGGAGATATCTTTTTCAGTTTGTTGTGGCTTAAGTTCAGTCGCACAAGTTCTGGAAGACCTGACACAGCTCCATTCAGCGTTTCCAATTCGTTATGGTCCAACTTGATTTCATTTAATTTGATGTTCCATTCTACCAGATTCTGAAACGTTAAGGAATCTATAAAGTATCTAACGAAGCTACAAAGTAATCGTAAACAGTGGTTGATTCGTGATCAACGCGTGATCGGTAGCCATGGCGCTCTGTCGGCCTCTTCCTGATTGGCTTGTAGCGACGAGCCTCCAGACAAAGTCGCACGGTTGCCACGCTCGGCGAGTTTTCGCCAGAGTGGTTGATCACATTCGCATGGATCACAAATCAATCTGTTGGTGCAATACGTGCAATAACTGTTGTAAAGGACATTATATAACAATAAATGGCATCACAAAGGTATATTCCAATTTGATCTGCAGTAAATTATGAACGGCATATACGGAGATGCGAAAACAAGCTCAAAAAGGTGAAGAAAATTTTTGTGCAATCTTTATAGTTAAATTTTTCCTAAGAGATAGCATCAGTGAGGGAATTTTTTTCTATTGTCTTATTTTTCACATTAATGCGATGTCGAGGTATGTGGCCCTATCGCAATTGAAAATAAGGTTTCGGTAATCCTTCCATAAAGTTTCGATGAGTACATCTGAAATAACCCTGAGATATTCTTCAGGGAAATACAAAAATCTCCTTTTGTGTTTTTTTGTGCAGATTTATCTATTAAAATCCTATCCGCAATCTATTTTCCGTGCACACACCTTCAACCGAATGTATGCCATATACGATATTACCGTTTCCAACTTTCACCAAGGTTAATAGGAACCATAACAGCTCCCTACCCTTCCCCCCTATAAGAATATCGATTTGTAGCCTCACATTTCAAGGTTAGACTTCTTGTAATGTTTCTGTTCAACATTCGGCGATTTCTGACAATTTTCCCAATAAAACATGATCATTGTGACATTAAGCCTGGCAACGCTGCATAGTAGAGGGAACTCTCAGCGTCACGTTGATGGTTCGTCACCACGCACAGGATTGTAATCAGTTACGGATACCCGTTTATGAGCGAGAACGTTTTATGCACGTCTTGACTTGATTTTTCTTGCGGAAATTTAATATTAGTTTAAAATGTCTGACACAGATACAGCTGATGAAGTGGTTGAAATCAGCTTAACGCCACCCAGCAAAAGGGATAAAAAGCTTCATCTTAGCGCAGGTGAAAAACAAATTATTCTAAATATCTACAAGAACCAGATGCAAGAGAATAGTGGATTGGCTATAGAAAATATCGTATGTAAGGTTGCTGAAATTTCTGGAGTAGGTCGATCAAGTGTTTACAAAATCTTGAAGGAATATAGACAAAATCACTCACTATCTGAGCCAAAACATATCCAGCGAGAAAAAAACTCATCGAAAAAATAGATGACTTTGACAAAAGTGTCATTAGAAGAAAAGTACATCACTTTTTCTTCAGGAATGAAATACCTACAATAGATAAAATATTGAAGCAAGTGAATGATGATGAGGACCTGCCAAATTTTAAAAGATCTACGTTCCATAAGCTGTTGAAAGAACTAGACTTTCGATTTTTTGAAAAGAGGAAGGAATAGTTTATTGATAGAAAAGGAGGAAATTGTTATCTGGAGGAGAGAATACCTTAGAAAAATTAGGCAATTCCGCGCTGAAGGGAGAAAAATTTATTATTTAGACGAAACATGGGTGAACGCGGGGCATACGCAGGGAAAGGTTTGGGTAGACAGATCTGTGAGGTCCTCAAGGCAGGCTTTTTTAGATGGCCTTTCGACGGGATTGAAAAATCCTGCAGGTAAGTTTCGAAGTATATGAACTTTTTTGGATGCAGATAATTCATTTTCTGATCGAATCAATGATTTGGAAGCTCCGAACTCAGTTTTGCTATCTCATCCAAGTTTCTGAGTATTTCCTTCACCCAAAAACTAATCTAAGACCCTATCCTACACTAACCTAAAAAGAGTAAGTTGCTTAATTTCGTCATTTAGTGCGCTCGCTGAGAAATAAAATAACTAATTACTTTCAGGCAAGGGAAAACGCCTGATCATTTGCCACATAGGTAGCGTAGATGGATTTGTTCCTGAAGCATTGTGGGCATTTGAATCCAAAAAAACTGGAGACTATCACGAAGAAATGGATGGTAACTCATTTGAAAATTGGTTCAAAAAAATTTTGCCGACACTTGATGATAACGCAATTATTGTGATGGATAATGCCCCGTACCACTCCAGAAAATTGGAAAAAATTCCAACAATGGCCACCAAAAAGGCAGACATTCAACAGTGGCTTGTCTCAAAGAAGATCGACTTCGACCAAACAATGGTCAAAGCTGAGCTGATAAATATAGTCAAGCGACATAAGTATAAATATGATTTAAAAATTGTTGACGAAATGGCCAAAAACCAAATTAAAACGATTCTCAGGCTGCGTCCCTATCACTGCGAACTGAATCCTATCGAGTTGATTTGGGCCGACATCAAGCATCAATCAAATAACAGCACTTTTAAGTTTTCTGACCTTAAAAAACTGTTTGATGTTGCTGTCGATAGAATTACGCCAGCAAAATGGAGAACATGTATTGACCATGTCCAAGAGAAGGTTGAAACCAAAATGTGGGATATGGACAATATCATTGACACCCAAGTTGAACCCCTTATAATTGACATCAACAATTCTGATGATTCAAGCTCCTCGGAATACAGCATATAAATCGATTGATACCATTAAGACTGGCGGTTTAACGGGCTTTTTGGCAAGACAGGTAAGTTCATTATAGACTGCAATCAAAGTGTAAGTTTCTAGTTATTAATGTGGAAATTCCAAATTTATAATTACACAAAATTAGGGTTAATTTGGGAGTTCCAAAGCATAATAGTGCCATTTTGACCTTCTTCCTATTTCTCATGTAAATTTTAATAGCAATCAAACTAACAAACTTTATGGAGTCTGTAATAAACTTTTGTACTACTACTACTACGTCTGTAGTTTCTATTTGCTCAAAAAAATTTGCTCTGCATTGTGAATAGAAGGTTGATTTGTAAATATTATTGGGTATATATGTAAGTTAATAATAAAATATGAACAATTTCAATTGAGATGGTCCACAAGTTTTTTTCGTGTGCGTTTTAGTAACATTTTGCTGAAATGGTGAATACAGAATTTTTTGCACTGATTTCTAATGTCGAAATATGATTAGAAAGGCGTGGTATATTCCTGATAATTTACTATGCTTTTGATAGAATTTATAGCAACACATATCTTGTACGACATTTTTTGATAGATCAGTCACAATAGCTTGATACGGCCCTGTAGCGTCTCCTACGGTTAAGTTCTTGATCACGTGCAATACGGGTATATATGTTTGATTTTACTTTGTTTCTTCGATGGATACAGTTTAATCTATCAAATCTATCGTATCTAAGATTTCCTACTTCTTTACACAAATTTCACGAACTGTAAGATTGTTTTATTATGATAATCAACTGTTACTTATACCATCATTATTTCCGGTTTTGCTGGTATGCATACAGGGTACCCAGAATGATTTAGCAATCTCTCAAAAAATAATGACATCAATTCATTCATCTAATGACCTTGAAGGTCTTTTGCAAGGTCATCAAAAAGATCATGTTTGAACAAAATTGTCCGTTATTCACATTTCCTGTGTTTAAAATAAGAACTTCCATTCAAGGAAACATTTCTTGATCAAACCTTACAGCTACTTCTGCAACATTTTTCTCTAGGGAACTTAAATAGCCTTGACAGTCATGGCGAAAGGTACACTGTCACTATTACTATAGATTTCCAAACAACTTTTTCGCTATGATATTTTCCGAGATATTTTGGTGTTTTCATAATTTTGTATCTATGCATCAGAGAGATTGCAGTCTTATTCTGAGACACCATATTCATGATAAGTTTTATCGGTAGGATGAAACAGTTTTTATCCCAAAGTCCAGCATTCCCAATGTTTTTTTTTAAAACGAGATGGTCCCAGAAGTACCCGGCCTGACCTAGAGATGGCGATAGTTGTTTGAAAAATATCATTGAATTAGAAAGTATGCAACCTATTAAGCATATGTGTCAGGTTTGAAGACGCCACGTTGTTTAGTATTTGTTTGGCAGCCATTAATACTGAACGTTTTCAGTAAATTTGTGAAAATGGAGAAAACTGGTCATCGTTATGTGGTACAATACTTTTATTTCAAAGGCCTCAGCCCAACCAATATAAAAGCTGAACTGGATTCTACTCTGGGTGAGTCTACTCCTTCGTTAACAACAGTAAAATATTGGGTAGCAGAGTTTGCGATGAAATCAAGCAAAAACGGCCGCATTTGGTTAAGAAGAAAGTGTCGTGCATCAAGACAATGCACCAGCTCACAAATCCGTTATTGCAATGGCCAAAATTAACGAATTAATGTTTGAATTGCTACCTTATGCAGATTTAGCCCCCTTGGATTATTTTCTGTTTCCAAAATGGCTCAGTGGTCAAAGATTATCCAACGATGAAGAAGTGATGTCGGCAGTTATTGGCTATTTTGAGGAGCAAGACAGTTCTTATTATAAAAAGGGTATCGAACTTATTGAACATCGCTGGGAAAAGTGTATAGAGCTCAAATGAGATTATGTTAAAAAATTTTTTTACAAAATTTTTGTATTTTCTTCGTTGGGTCGTTTACTTCTGGGACCACCCTCGTATACGAATTGTGTATGAAATTTACTTACAGCTGCAGGACCTGTAATAGTCCGTATGTGATTATAAGACAGATCCACGCTTCTCAGTTCTTTTAAGCCTTCAAGATCTTGAAAAGAGAACTCCGTCAATAGGTTGTGAGTGATGTTGAGGAAATTGAGGTTCTTCAAGTTGACTATAGAGTTGTTCAAAGATTTTATCCGGTTATGGCCTAAGAGGAGCGACTCCAGGATTTCACAGTCTTGAAAATCGTGTTCAGCCAGCTGAAAACAAATAAGTATTAGAACTTTAATAAGAAACAGATCGTTCTTGATTTCACTTTTTCAAAAGTTTGAGGATAATACAGACGCACAAGGGAGCATTAAGTTTCACAACGCTTTTTTATCGTAGTTTTTCAAATTGAGATTGAATTGAATTTAAGTGAGAATAGTGAGATGCTCACAAAAAGAAGGGAAAAAATAGTGAGAAATAGAGAATTTATACATAAAAAAGTGAGTTATTTTTCTGATAAATTGACTATGATAATGCCAAATTCAAACGGATAATACATGGTAAATAAGAATGAGTGAAAAAAAAACCGAAAATAACTCATACGCGGTATCTGTGACTGTCGCGTCGCGTCGCTTGGACTGACAGAACGAAACAGTAGACGAATTTCGCCCAATAACCGATTTGCACTTCACAGCTTACGTTTCATTTTTTATTATTTCCAAATTAAACTCTTGCAGCGTGCTAAAAACATAGTCCACAGGGTGCTAACGATCCACTTTTTCGATTTAATCCACTAGGATCTTTTTAAAATATCAAGAAGTTGAGCACAAGTAGTAAGCATTTCAACCCACCATAATTCTTGCGCAAAGACAAAATTTTGTAAAAAGCTCTGATAGCACCTTAGGCAATTATGTCCTGTTTATCTCCAGAAAAACATCACAAACTGTAGAACGCAAATTGAAGGTAACGGCGAAATGGGTACATTTCACGGGTCATGCAATTCAATTAAAAAGGCAGGTATAAACTCTACCAAATTATCGTTCTCAAAAACATATTCCGTGTGGAAATTTCATAAAAATCCGAGCGGTAATTTCCACGTTGATGATGAGTGATATAGTTTTTCGTGATGTAGATGTCGTATGACTTAAAAAAACATAACATCTCATTTTAGAAATTTTTCGCAATTACAATACTTCCTCGCCACTCTCGTGGGAAGTAAAACGGCTTTAAAATCGAGGAGTATCAGCGATCGCGATTATGAGTACCTATTTGCAGAACGACTTATCTACGCGATATTATATGAAATAGGGCCACCAAATTATCTGAATACGTCCTTTCTTAGTCCGTACATTGCAGCACGAAACAGTAGACAAAATTCGTCCAAAATACGATTTTGTAGAGGTTTGCGCGCTTCGGAATTGACGCTTTATTTTTTGATATTTTTGAATGAAATTTTCACAGTGTGCTGAAAACAAAACCCCACAGGGTGCTATTGAGCCACTTTTTCATTTTTTTCACTAGATTCTTTTACAAAAAAAACGTGAAGTTGAACAGAATGAACCCTTGTAAATGGCTTGAAACTATTTTTTGCTAGTTAGGATGCAATTACCATTTCTATCTGATTATGCTCCAACACAGCCCGAATCAAATTCTTCGACTTGGACAGCGCACCGTTCAACACCTTCAATTCATTGTTCTGGAAAAACAACGACTCCAACTTCGGGTAATTTCTCAGCTGGGTAGGCAGAATCTTGATGTGGTTGTGCGACGCATGCAGCAACCTCCATTCAGGAGCCGGTTCCGGCAATTCTGTGCTGATGTCCGTCAATTCGTTGCTGTTGATGAAGAGCCAGCCTAGGTTGTGAAGAGTCTTCAGTGTGCCGTTCAAGGTATACAGGTTGTTTCGGCCTAGGTGAAGACGTTGAATTTGTTGGGGGATGCAGCCTGCCTCCATTTTGGATATTTGGTTGCCGGGGAGAACTAGGCATTCCAAGTCTGGCAAATCCTGTAAATAACGAGAAATGACATCAGATATGTTGACTCTACAGGGTGTTTCAGAACTATGGGATCAAACTTGACCCATATCCGACCTTGTGTGTTGTTATCTTTAAAAACGATAACAGAGATTGCTTTTGTAGCTGCCTTAGTCGTGCTATCGTATTGAAGTTTGCAAGAATTTAACAAAAATTAATTGTTGCTAATGGAAAAGTTTACCAATCAAGAATTGGCGGATATGCATTTGGCATACGGAGCAACAAGCTGCAATGCACGATCAGCAGCGCGGTTGTATCAAGAACGTTACCCTGCATGACAGCATCCGGGATACAAAAGTTTATTGCTATTCATCGGCGGCTCTCCGAGACAGGCATGTTTAAAACCAACATGCACGATACTGGTGTTGCTCGAACCGTAAAGCCATGTACAGACATGTAACAATACCGCGAACCGAACCACGCGACGAACCGCGCCGCGCTAGTGCGGACGGCGAAAGGAACGCCGTCGCGAACCTGATTAGCGTTACAGCTCGCCGTTCGGCCCGAATGGCTCGCGACCAAGTTGCACATGTCTGGACAGGCATACCGGTGCGGCGAGCACGCGCTCATCGACAGACCCCGTGAAGAAAAGATGGAATGGTCGGAGAAGAAAACTCTTTTGCTTATAGAGCATTACAGAGCAGCGTAATTGTTGTGGGATGCAAAACATACCCTGCATTACAATGAATTAAAAAAATGATGCCTGGAAGCAGATAGCGTCCACAACGGGAACAACAGCTGGCTTATGTAAACGAAAAATGGCAATTCCGCTACCAAATTGTTGCAGCCGTGCGCTGATCTATCGGTATATAACTGCGTTTGCCACCATCGTCTCGGACGTAGCAGCACTTGTTTTTAGATAATTCATGATGAATATAAATACAGGGTGTCCGCAAAGTTGGGGTTTTCCTTTACACGACGTGTAGATCTTGAAAACATAAGCAATTTTTCTTAGTACCATATACACCAATCTCTTAAGGGAACCGAGATAAAGGGCTCTGCAACATCAAATATCTGAATACCGTCCTGTAGCCGCGACCCGCGACATCCCCGAGTGGTACTAGGACACTAGCTCAACCCGACGACAGAACTGGGTCGGGGTCAGTGTGTCAGGTCAGTATACAACCTTCAACCGACGGTTACGGTCACGCGTGTAGAGGTAAACGAACCCGTATAATCGATTGCGTTTCAAAAAAAAATAATAATGGCACACTCATACACCAATAATGAACTCGTTGATATGTTGTTAATTTATGGCGAATGTCTTCAAAATGCTACAGCGGCTTCGCGAGTGTATGCAGATCGTTGCCCTAGACGACATCATCCAAGGCCCCGCAGATTTGTCTACCTGGTCCAGAGAGTCAGGGTTACGGGCCATTTGGAGGAATTTCGAGGTGGGCATAGTGAGAGGCCTAGACAACCACGAATGGTGCAAGTTGAGGAAGAACTACTGAATCGCGTAGACGAGAATCCCTCAACAAGCACTAGAGACGTGGCTAGAGAAGTGCAAGTATCAAAAACTAAAGTGTGCCAAACGCTGCGTGAAGAGGGGCTGTATCCGTTTCACGTCCAACGTGTACAAGCCCTTCAACCTGACGATTTTGCAGCTAGAGTGCGGTTTTGTGAGTGGTTGTTGCATCAACATGACAATAATCCGGACTTTTTGAAGTGCATATTGGTGACAGACGAATCTACGTTCACGCGTAATGGGGTGAATAACTTTCGCAACACTCATGTTTGGTCAGTAGAAAATCAGCACGCTGTCCGTCGGGCACAATTTCGGTGAATGTTTGGGCTGGCATGGTGAACGGTATGCTCATTGGACCATTTATTCTCCCAAATCGATTGGACGGGATGCAATACCTGGACTTTTTACGCAACATTTTGCCTTCCTTGTTAGAAGATGTGCCATTAAGTGTAAGACAATCAATGTGGTTTCTGCACGATGGTGCACCGCCCCATTTTAGACGCGAAGTGCGTGAGTTTTTGAATGAATTATTTCCGAATAGGTGGATCGGACGTAATGGACCCGTTGCATGGCCTCCGCGATCTCCAGACTTAACACCATGTGATTTTTTTCTTTGGGGAGAAATGAAACGCTTAGTGTACAAAACTGAAGTGCATACGGTTGACGAACTTCGTCTCAGAATTGATCAAGCTGGTGCTTTCATTCGGGGGAGGGATTCCATTTTCAAAGCCTGCACCGATGCTTGGCTATGTCGTGCACGCGCCTGTGTTTTTGAATCAAACGGCGATAACTTCAAACAATACCTATAAAGAACGTTTACCTAAAAACTGAAAACACGGCAACGCCATCTTATTTGTTACCTCTGTTCGTGGTCTGCACCACCGCCGGCGTTTGCTCGGTAGCGCATCAGCTGATTTCATTTTCTGTTGGAGCGGGCAAAGACGTACTTAGCCCTTCTCGTCAACTGGAGAGTGAGTACTTTTTCCTTTATTTTTTTTACTTGGTCGCCCTTGTTTCACTACACATTACCTTTGTTATTTCAAGGGTAGTTGCTGTTTCTGAAAAGGAAAACCCCAACTTTGCGGACACCCTGTATAGGCAGCTACTTCTACATCTATTTCAGTTAGTATTCGTCTTTCACTGAACGACAAACATCAAAATTGGATCGTCATTTTGTTGCCCGATGTGGTTGCACGACGTCGTTCGGTTTGTGATGATGCTCGTTGTAATTTTGTTCGTCAAAATGCACGCGCTGCGGTTCGGTTCGCGGTGTTGTTACATATCTGTACATGGCTTAAGAACGGTCGAATTTAAAGAAGAGGTCCTTCAGCCGGTTGCCGACGAACCATCAAGTAGCACACTTCACATTGTTGAGGATATGAATACGAGTAACGCTTCCGTCTGGCGGGTGCTACACGAGCAACAACTTTATCCTTACCATTTCCAGAAAGTTCAAGGATTGACTGTAGCCGATTATCATCCTAGAGTTCAATTTTGTCAATGGGTTCTTCATCAAATCGCTGCACAACCAAATTTTTTACGCTATGATAAAGCCTTTTTCACAAGAGACGGTATTTTTAATAGTATGAATAGCCACGTTTGGGACAAAGAAAATCCCCATGCAATTTTTCTAGAAAACATCAGCAACGTTGATCTGTCAACGTATGGGCAGGCATTCTTGATGATTATTTGATTGGGCAATACCTTCTACCGGAACGGTTGACAGGACCTATTTACCGGCGTTTCTTGGAGGAAGTTCTTCCAGAACTTCTTGAAAATGTTCCATTGAACGTTCTACAGCAAATGTGGTTTCAGCATGATGGAGAGCCGGCTCACTTTGCTGTACAAGTACGTGAGTATTTGGCGCAGCGGTTTGGACACCGTTGGATTGCCAGAGGTGGAGCAGTTTCTTGGCCTCCTAGGTCACCCGATTTAACGTTGATAGATTTTTTCCTGTGGGGACATGTAAAGTCGTTGTTTTACGAAACTCCAGTAGAAACAGACCAAGACTTAATTGGACGAATTACAGCAGCATTTGAAGTCAATCAAAACGAGTATAAAATGTTTAGTCAAGTACCCCGAAATCATATGCGATGTTTAAATAGGTGTATTCAGGTTGGAGGAAGACATTTTGAACAATGATGATATCATGTACAAAAGGCAAAAATTGAATGCATTAAATCCTATTTAGGCAATTCATTGTCTTTCTAAATTTTAACGCGTCTTAGGGCCGTAGTGCCGTAGGGACACTTATCCGGATATGGGTCCCTATACTCAAATGTTTTCTACTGTTACACTAAGTAACCCCTAGAAGTTTGATCCCTTAGTTCTGAAACACCCTGTATACCTTCCACTTTACGCAACTTTTTCGCTCGACACTATTCCGAGGACAGCATAAGCAATTTACGCTCGGATTATTTACTTCCCACGCCAACTGGTCAGCAAGTATCTATTGTAACCGTGAAAATTTTCGAAAATGAGATATGTATTTTGAAGGTTATAACCTCTACTTTCTTCTGTCCTCACGCGACACACACGCATTACCGTCGTTGCAGTTCAATTAACACAGAAATTATTTTTTGATGCTTCTGATGTCACTGAGTGGAGGAAAGGAACCAAATTTGAGACAAGCGAGACAGTGGTGTAACTTTGTATCTTTGCAGCACCATATTCTAGTAATACCAAAAAGTTGTGAACTAAGACGCAGTAGTACAGTAGTACAGTTTAGTTTTGCAGATGGTTTGCTGTGACATCACAACTTTTTACTTGTTGAGAGTTAATCATATTTTCAATAGTCTGAGAAAGGTGATTACTAAAATCAAGGTAAGTTACTTAAAGTGTATCTAACGAAGCTACAAAGTAATCGTAAACAGTGGTTGATTCGTGATCAACGCGTGATCGGTAGCCATGGCGCTCTTTCGGCCTCTTCCTGATTGGCTTGTAGCGACGAGCCTCCAGACAAAGTCGCACGGTTGCCACGCTCGGCGAGTTTTCGCCAGAGTGGTTGATCACATTCGCATGGATCACAAATCAATCTGTTGCTTCAATACGTGCAATAACTGTTGTAAAGGACATTATATAACAATAAATGGCATCACAAAGGTATATTCCAATTTGATCTGCAGCAAATTATGAACGGCATATACGGAGATGCGAAAACAAGCTCAAAAAGGTGAAGAAAATTTTTGTGCAATCTTTATAGTTAAATTTTTCCTAAGAGATAGCATCAGTGAGGGAATTTTTTTCTATTGTCTTATTTTTCACATTAATGCGATGTCGAGGTATGTGGCCCTATCGCAATTGAAAATAAGGTTTCGATAATCCTTCCATAAAGTTTCGATGAGTACATCTGAAATAACCTTGAGATATTCTTCAGGGAAATACAAAAATCTCCTTTTGTGTTTTTTTGTGCAGATTTATCTATTAAAATCCTATCCGCAATCTATTTTCCGTGCACACACCTTCAACCGAATGTATGCCATATATGATATTACCGTTTCCAAC